AGGTAAATAAATTATATTAATATTATTATTATATAAACAAATATTCTTCGTTTAAAAATAAGCAAAAAAATCCTGTAAACGTCTAAACGAAAAAACGTTTCATTACCTAGATATAGAGCGTTATTTTTTTTTTTATTAATTTACCACTAATAGTTATTAATATTTCAAAGCTATATTATTTGATTATTAATTGATAATATTAGAAGGTAGTAACAAGGGCTATTTTTTGTGTCATTATATTACGCTTGCTTAATTCAGGGACGTCTTTGGGTACATTTTATTTAATACGTCACAATTTAAGTTCTGATATTTTCATTTCGATAGAGAAATAAAAAATACTGTTTACCAAAACTCAAGATATGGTCTACATGTTTTTAAGAAAGTACCGTACCAGTCGTATCAATGATACGGGGCCCCAGAAGTACAGGGGCCCTGACGTGAAATTCGTAAAATATAATATTTTCTATGTACAGTAATTTCGTATGCTTTTATGTACAATATACTTAGTTAATTTTGTTTATTTCATAAAAAGGTATTACCCTATTTTTGGTCTTCTCCATAATAGGATAAAAAGGGTCTCTAAATTTTGATATAGAGCCCATTTAGATTTAGAGCTAACTAAACCACTGATAAATTAAACAAAACCATTAAATAGAAATAATTATAGGCAAGTGGGACATCCCCAAAAAGGGCATTATTTAGCGAATGGATGGCCAACTCGTTCTAGACACTAATTTTAATTGTTTTTGTGGTTTTTATGTTTTTTAGAATTTCAATATTACAAATTACTTTTATTCNTTAGTAATTGTTTAATAAAAGGATTATTTTGATTTGTATACGTAATAAATGCACGGCTCGGTCCCAAGACGTTAAAAACGTCACGTCAAAAGTAATTACAAGAAGTAATTAAATTAACTAAAAGGTATTAAGGCCCTGATTTTTCAGATTAACGTTTATAGGAACGTTTTTGTTTAGTTTTAAGCAAAAAAAAATTAACTCAAAGGTAAACATTCTACGCTATCCGGTTATAAAAAAGCAATACTTCGTGTCCCATAATTTGATGCAATTTTTAAAATTTTCAAAAAAATGTAATTATGAAACCAATTCAACCTGTATTTGTTTTTTTTTTTTTTAATTTTGAAATTAGAAGAATTATTAAATACCTAAGTTTTTTGTAACTAAACTATTTGTACATTTAAATTCATTACGATAATCGATCAATTAATACTCAATTAATCACAATAAATACGCTGAAAAGTACAATAACAAAAATAAACATTTAAGAAAGTTTTATAAAACGACTAGATAAATTGTGTATGGTTAAAAAAAAATAAAAAAAAAAAAAAGTTACCGAATATGGTTGCGGAGTAAAATTGCATTCTGGAAGCCGAATATCTGCAACTCTCCCGTTTCTAAACGTTTCTTTCACTTGTTGTACTACAAAGAATAGCAAAAACTTCTCATCTCGCTCCTTTTGAATAAAATATTAATTAACTCACCAGTAATAGGACTGCGATACATTTTGGACGACTTCATTGTCCAGTTTAGTATTTAAATTGGAATCGCAGACTAAACTATTTAAGTTCAAATTAAAACACTTAACCAGGAAAAATATCATTATCTTAGTTTATTGTGTAATATGTTATAACTTTTAGGACGTATTTAGTCGAAATTAATATCAAAAAGTTTTTAAGATACGCATTTAGTATTTACATTTCATTTAATGTGGTTTAAAATATTATGTAAGTTCTTATATAAAAAAAATATTAATTAATTTAAATTAAAATAAGTAAGGTACGTACTCAAAAAATCTAAGATTTGTTATATTTTTGTTGCTTATTATAATATTCGCTACACAGGAAATAGAAGGTATGCTTACCTTAAAGCCTTAAAGTGATGAAACCCACATTACACTTGTGTAAGAAAATTGCCTATCAATAATATACGTTAATTTTCACTGTTTTAGTTTTATTAAATCTTGTATTATTATGTAAACGTCCTGTTTGTAGTATGCTTTTTTGCTATTTTTTATTAAAAAAAAGGGGAACAATATTTATATCTTATACAAAAATCATTTTGTATAGGTGTATTTTTATGAAGGCTGGTTAATTTAAATTAATTCGGGTTCGATTCCCGAGCCATACTTTTTTCCTCTTGTTACGTGAAATAAATACCATAAAAAGCATTTTCTAAAACATTTTCCAGTATGTTAAAACAATTCAATGATATTGTCATTTTTTATATTTAATACTCGTTTCACTTGTTAAATTCGTTAAAGAGTTAAGCTTTAGTAAATTATTTTAAAGTATCCTAACTGCTATAAAAAAATAACAGTATTAAAACTCCGCAATCAGGATTATTTTATTTTATTAACAAATCTAATAAAAATAAACTACAAATAACGTACAAAGTTCAAGCACTTTTTCAAAGCATTCAGTAACTTCCAATGATATCTTTTCTTCGAATTCTAAAGTCAAAATCTACAATTTGTGGGTAGTCATCACACAAAAGTTTATAAGCATAACAAAGCCTGGCATATTCCTCAGTTGTTATCTCAAAAGGTCTAGCGTTGCTGTCTACATCAGCCAAGATAAATAATTTTTCACCTACAGCAAAGAAAATTATTGTATTTACTAATTATATGACCTTGCTGTAAAAGGATTCTCCCATTTGTACATTTAGTTATTTATTTATTTGAAGGTCAACGCCTACAAGCTGATGGAATAAATCGTTATGACATAAACAATAAAGAAATAAAGAAATGGGTGTAATCCCAACAACTAAAGTAAACTTATAATTATAAATATATATTAAATTTTATTTTTAATTCCCAATAAAAATTACTTCTAATTTAATGAAAATATACCTAATTCCTCCCTTAACTCCTCTGGAAAAAGACGTAGGGCACTTTTCAGAGAAATTTTCTGTCTCATATTAAAAAAGTGTCGTAATACCTTCTCAACCATTTCAAATGGTAAGTCTACAAAGGGTTCTTTCAATGGTTCTAGGGTAACAACTCCTACATCCACCTTAGGTTTTGGTATAAAAGCCCTTCCAGGTATTGTGAATTTATGTTTAACGTTGCACCAAAGTTGACACATAACCGACAGTCTGCAACGTTGTTTATGAGTTACGGGTGCCTTCATACGTTCAGCAACTTCTTTTTGAAATGTTAAGGTCATCTTACTCCTTCCAAATGCCCAGGCTGATTGTTTCTGTGATATTGCCTTTAGCCAACGTATTACTAAATTAGTTGATATACTAAATGGTAAATTTCCTATTATATTAATGGGTGGTGGGGAACCAAGCCAATCTTCTTTTGGTACTTCAGACAATGCATTTTCAAAATTGAAATCTCTCACGTCATTTATTTCTATATGCATGTCAACAAAACCCTGACTGGCTTCTTGTAATAATTCCAATGTAGGCAAAAATCTTTCATCTTTTTCAATAACAATTAACTTTCTGGGATGTTTCTTTATGATAGACCTTGTGATACCACCAGGACCAGGACCAACTTCACAAACATAATGCCCAGAAATGTCTCCAGCTGATTTAACTATTCTGTCTGTTATACGTTCATCTAGTAGAAAATTTTGAGAAAGTTGCTTCAATGCTTTTAATCTATATAACCGAATTAAATCTCTAATTGTAGGTAAAGGGGGTAATCTTAACACTGCAGCACACATTTTTCTTAAACTACTTTTTGACTTCAATTATTTTTTGAGGTTCTTCAAAATCGTCTAGAAATTTCTCCTGTTTAATGGCAAAAATAGAATAGGTGTAGATACTTAATACACAACAACCAATTATTCCAGCAGTAATTAAGTTATTTTTACGAACTTTCCTCAACTTCTCCACTCTAGCCCGATTTTTTTCTTCAATCAGTTTTATCAGGTCCAAATTTGCTTTTCCTAGTTTACTAAAATCTACTTTGCTTTCAGGCTCACTCATTTTATTAGCTATTGAGTAAAAATTAATTGTAATGTGTGGTAAAATTCTACTATGTAGATAACAGCATTTTTAACATTTCTCAACTAAATCCAAATATAACCTACAATTTCTATCATAGACAAAATTCCTATCTATAATATCTATGGTACAAGTGATAATCACAGATAAGAATTAATAATTGTGAACATAGATAAATTGTGGAAGTCAAATTATAATTTAATGAAATTAAAATCATAGAATATTTATGGAAATAGTTGTTCGTTAAGAATGAATGATTATATATAACTTTACCATCCTTTTCGATCAGTAGTAGTCCATTTAATTAATATTATATACCAAAAATTGTGAATTACCAAAATGAATTTATTATTATTAATAATATTAATATCTATTTTAATTATAAAAATATAACCGTCTGCATGGTAACGAAACACATCCAGAAAATTGTTTTGTATATTTCTGACAGTAAACGACAACTGTCATACAGCTGTTATACTTCAACTTCGTTGTTAGTGAACATAGATTTTGACATTTGCTGTTATGGCTGAGGGCGATGAAAACTTTCCAAAAAATTTTAGAAGCAAATCGCCCACAAATAAAAATGATTCGGAAAAAAATGACGTTTCCTTAGATTTAGATTTAGCACTAAGTTGCCAGAAAAAAGTAGAACATAATCAAACAGTTGAAGAAACCAAGACTCCAGGTACTATTGTTGCTTTTTAAAATAGAAAAAATTAACTGTGGTTTATGTTAATGTTAGATATTAGAAAAAATTATTTTCTAGGGACTAGTGAAAGCAGTAAACGAGAAGACAACCCTTTTTCCTTTAAACACTTTTTGAGGAGTGACTCAACAAATTACCAAAATCAAGGAGCAAGACCAAAAGTATACTGTGATGGAAGACCAATATCTTCAATATCAGATGTAGATTTGCGAAATTCGGGCGCCAAACAAACCAGAATTATCCCTGAGTATCCTTCTGCTTTGCCTGATTTTGTTCAAGATCATTTAGTAATTGAACAGTGTTATTTAGGAAAGGACAGTTCCAAAAATAGTTATAGTTTGGATCTCAATAATTTGCCAGGATTTAATTCTAGTAGAAGTAGCATTAATATCAACAGATTGCACTGTAATTCTAGTCAAAACTTTCATCCACGAATTAATAATAGTCCTACTAACTTTTCTGTCCCTCTGGACTTGCCTGGAGGACCTCAGGCAGGATTCCCTTTAGACTTACCTATCAGTCAAGATAGTCAACCTAGTAGTTCAAGAAGTTGCCCTGCATCAACAGAGGTAAAGAAACCCTAAATTTCATGGTTTTGCAATATTTATTATTGTTTCTTTTAACAAAATTATAAATGTGCTTTTTTTAATAAATGACTGTTTTGTAGGCTGGTGTAACTAAAAGTCTGCCAGATTTTCTAGCAGATGGAGCAGTAAGAACTCAAGTGAATCATGAAGAAAGTAATAATCATAGTCATGATAGGGAGTTACATCATGAAATTGAATTCTATCAGACCCAGTTAGCTGAACAAACAAGACGAGCTAATCAACTTCAAAGGGAATTAGATGCTGTCAGAAGCAGGGAGCATGAGTACAGTGAAAATCTTAGTAAAGCTTTAGAAAAGTCAGAAAGGAATCTGAAAAGAAGCAATGTAAGTATATGTAGTTGGAGTTACGAACATGTTTTATTCTAGGTTACTATTTTTTTTGTATATATTTTTTTAAGACCTGTTGATAATTTCTTACGTAATGGTGCTATTTACTAAACAAATTATATATAAAAGCTTTATAATAATGATGGATAAATCATTTTGATATATAATTTGTTTAATTAGTAATATATGTAAGAAATGCTAATGAAATTGATTTATTAATAAAACACATGATAATATCAGAATATGTATATCTTTTTGTCTTAACAAATTAATACATTCACATAAAGTATGCTCCCAGAAATTTCATTCAAGTTTACACTCATTTTTACTATTCAATGGAACAGAAACAGTATTATAATAAATTAGAAATGTATATGTTTATTTACAATTAATATAGTGAAAATGGTTATACTTTTCAGGAAAGAGCTTTATCAGCTGAAGGTACGATAATAAAACTAAGGCAGGAAATTACTGCTTTAAAGGTAAAGTTCTTTTGCTTCATGTCAACCACAATTAATCATGGTCTTGTAAATGATATGTATCATTTTTAGAATGAAAATAACAGACTTCGAAAGGAGAATGAAAGTTTTAGAGGTGAAGCAACAAGCAGTGGGGGCGCAACAGGTGGAATATGTTCCGGTATAACTGAAATACAATCCCAAAGGCTTGCTCAAGAGTTAAGGAATGCTGCCAGTTCAGCAGAGCATTCTCTCAGGTAATTAATTAACAATTTAAAATTAAAACGAAGTAAACATGGACGAATTGTCCCTGTATGTCTCATAGTTTTTGAGCAAGATTCTATTATTGGAATTGATTTCTCCTATATTTATAGATTTATCTTCTATTGATTTGTGTTTTTGATTTTGACTAGGTAATGACAAAAAGTGTAGAACTTTTGTTTTAAAAAGGACAATTTTAAAACTAATTTTTTTATCGTTACGATTAAAAAACGATTTAAAATTCGTGTTTTAAAAATTTCTGGGGAACTCACAACTTGCGAACCCGTTTAAAATGAGTATGTTTTTTACTTTTTTAATCGCAGATGTTTGTTACTTATTAATTATAACATTCGTTAACGTGAACAAGTCAATAATGTGGACAAGTATTGCTTTTTCTGTCTACAATAATTGGTATACGTGTAAAACAACATTTACAAAATACGCCTTGTGTAGTTTAATGTATAAATTACTTTTTTTAGACAATTATTAACTGGTGTAGATAATTTAAGAATAATGGCAGCTTCGTTAGAGAATATGCACCGAATAGAAGAAAGACGAGAAACTTTTCTTGACTCAGATGATGACGCTGCAGGTCCAGCTTTATAATAGTCCCTATGTAAAGGTTACTGTTTTTTTTTTTGCGAAGTATATATTGTAATAACTGCGTGTTTTCGACTCGAAAATTATTTTAAAACCGGTTGTGCTTTGTGATTTATTTAAATGTATTCGTACGTTACACAAAAAACACTATAATTATTATTGGAAACCGCGTATTCCCACAAACACTCACCTAAATATTTAAAATGCCTTTTAAAATGTAATATCTAAGGAAAAAATGGCTTTGCTATGTAAATATTAATTACTTGGAAAACTTTTTTATTCATATACATAATTAAAGTTAGTTGTTCAAGTACAAAAATTATTAAAAAAAACTACTAAACTTTTGTGTTGGTTGCTTTTGAGTCATTTTTATATAATTACAACCAAGGACTCAGATTGTTAAAATTTTAAAATAACCGTTCTGTTATGAGCAATTTGGTAAACACCCTGTATAACTGTATCAATGTGGTAAATTATTGTTTTCTTGATTATAAGTTTTTTTTCAGTAACAACATTAGTATTATTTAAATCCAAAACAACTGAAATAATTGACTTTTCCAAAAGCTAATAATTCTGTCTTGTAGCTTTTGGAAATGTATGAATAATTAAAAAACAATAACAAAATGAAATCATTTCTTTGTCCGCAAGTGCTTAATTTAGAAATACAAAAAAATTATTAGTAAAGTGTATGTTTGGAGACCTGAAACATGAAGATCTAATTAGAGACAACTAAAAGCAGAAACAGGACTAAAAAGGGGCAGAAAATTACCGTTCGCAAATAGTGAAGAATATGATTTTCGGGCTTTCTGACTGAACAAGGCTTTAAATTTTAATTAGAAGCTTTTTCAATGGCATCAAGAAAGCCCAAAAAGCAACAGTTATATCAACGATGGCTCCAAAACCTTAAATCAGAGTTGATATATTCTAGGTTTCGAAAAATGTGAAGATTGAATTACTCAGGATAGAAAAGAATCTTAGAGCATATATTTCCTATTATGCACCCGTGTTATGGAGCCCAAGAAAGAGATAATGGTAGATAGGGATGCGGGCCCAACCAGTCTTCGGACTGATGATTAAACAGTCCAAATAATTAAGGAATTTATTATGGAATTAAATTACATCAAAATTTTTAACAATATCACTAAATGACGAAAGTGGAACATCTCTTTCGCCAAAAATAAAACAGTTTTACATTGTATTTGCTACATACGCATATCCCTACAAATAAACTCGTGAGTATATATAGGACAACACTTAAATTTGAGACTATGGTAATACATTTAAATCGAATACGATTTTGGTAAGGAAAGAGATTCTCTTAAAACAAAATCATTCTCCTTGCCAATAGCAAAAGAAAATTCTATTATTCTGTTAAGCTAAAAGGTATGGTTAGGAATAAATTAAATAGTTATTTAGAGTCAGGCATTTATCTGTTCCAACATATTCCTAAAGTCAATATCAGTTTGTGTTTCCATATTAGCATAATCTCTACAATTCATGAAAGGGGTTTTAATAGGGAACAGCATGGTCTGACTCTCAACAGATCTAGACATATCATCAAATACTGTTTGTGTGTGAATATTACTGAATAAAACATCGCACTCCTTACTGGAATCACTGTACGGATTCATATTCAAAAACACATTTGATATATTAGTTTGTGTCTGACTGCTAATTGTTGAATCAGAATCTGGATAATTCAACAGATCCTCATTTAGCATAAAATCAGTTTGAGTCTCAATGTTGCAATTGAAAAATGGAGAAGTGACAAAAAGATTTAACTCATCAGCCAAGTTTGTTTGGGAACTGGAGTCCATGAATTCAAAATTAAGATCTGAAGTATCTGTATGTATCGAATCATGAGTTGCTGTAGAAATAGAAGATATAATTTCATTACGTTCGGACTCAAATGTTTGTGTACCCAAACTGTTCCTTTCAATACCCATATTTTCCAGCTCATCTTCTTTGAAATAGGTGTTACATGATTTAGTATCAGAACTAATATGTTTCGTTTGTGTAGTGTTATGTTTCTTTTCTTCCTCAAATGTAAAAGGATTAGAACGTTTTACTTTTCTAACAACATAATCTCCCACTGTTTGTGTCTCTATAGAAGACATATTGGCTAATTCAATTTCATTTGTTTGTGTTTCAATGGAATTACATTGACTGTAAATTGAATTAGCTTTATCAAAAGAAAATTCATTGACTTGGGTATCTTTGGAATGTAATTGGGGTGTTTCTATGCAATGATCTGTTTGACTTGATTTCTCAGATGTTACATTAATAACAACACATTTTAATAATGAGTAATTTGATGAAGGTTTCGGCGTAAATGCTTCTACGCTTTTCAGTTGACATATATTTGCAGTTTTTATTTTCTCAAGTGTACTAGAAGTCTTATATGCAGACTTTTCTAAAAAAGCGTGTTTCTTACGTCGAGCATGAGTCATAAGAGATTCATAAGAAGCATATGTAGAATCACAATTGCAGCAAGTAAACTCAACTCCACAATAATCAAAATGAGCTTTTTTGGCAGATATAGTTGAAAACCCTTTCTGACATAAATCACATAAATACTGCTTTTCAGAATGCACCTTCAGGAAGTGTTGTTTCAGAAGTTTCAATGATTTAAAACATTTTTCCCTGTAATAAACACATTCTTGGTCAGGGCAATAATATTCTCTATCAAATATATTTTTTTGCAAGTCCTCCTTTTTATGCTTTTTGAGTATGTGCAAATTAAGATTAGACTCAGATGTAAATACTGCATCACAGCTTTCTTCAGGACAGTAAAGTACTGTAGTTACTTTGCATAATTCATCAGCAGTAGGATAAAACTTTCTAATTACTTGAACATCTGTTTCTATTTCTATAAAAAAATTACAGTAAAGGATAAAACTAATTAAATTGGTTCATAATTAATAACTTACGGTTTTGCATTGTCGTGATTAATTTTGGATCCATCTCATTAAACGTCGAACAATAACAAACTTGGTTGTCCTAGATTTAAATATTGTTTTTTTTACACTAATACAGCTAAAATTTGCACATTTAAATATATGTTCTTTCACTGAAAAATTAGGGTTTTTCTTTAATTGAATAAAAATTTAAAATTGTAGTAGTACAAATATAGTATTTTATTATTGTGCTTAATGTTTTAATAATTTAATATTTTTTTANCCACTGAATAATATGACCTTCACTTTTTTTCCTGGTTCCTGTCAAATGGTATTTCATACACATCGAATTTCGTTATCGGATATCCTTCATCGAATTTCTTTAGGTAACTAAATGATCATTTTAAAAACAGATAAACTAAATGTATTAATACAATTACTTTATCGTTTAGTAATATGTATAAATATTAATAGGGTTTATCACAAAACAAAAAAGGGAAGAGTTTCCACTTTTTTTAATACCACTATGCGTGACGAACTGTATATATAATTAATTTTTTTAATTTTAATTTTCGATTAATTTATTTTTTTATATGTACGTAGGAGCATCAAAATGAGATGACGTTTAAAAATATATTATTGTGATTTGCAAATGGCGAATTGTAGTTGTGACGAGTGGTAGACGAGTGCACATGTGTAAATGGAAGTAGAAAATGGATGGAGTATAAACTGATTCAGTGAAGTTAAATTGTGCCAGTCGTAACGAAACATTGAAATGGTTAACCAGTTGAGGTTCGTACATAAAATATGGTAAAAAAACAAAATAATGTCAAGTACGAAAAACTTGCTCATTTCTTTAATTCAGAAGCTGATAGTAAGCAACAGGCTGTTAAAGCTGTAAGTTTAAATATTTTAAATTAAATTGGCTTGTGCTGAATTCGTCCGCTCTTGTATATTTTCTCAAATTATTTTTTTTTTATTAAAAACTCCTAACTGTTACTAAACGTCCAAACCCTATCATTCTATTATGTTTTTATTTATCATTCGGGCTACTTACCACGATCAATAATAGTGCACTGCGGTGTTTAGCATTTCGATTCTTCCGGTACACCTAGATGCTTTTCTAGGACACTTAACTATAATTTCATTTTTTTTGTATGCACTTTTACTAAACATAGCTTATTAAAGCAATTGTAACGCAAAAAGTAGGTAATATACATACACCCCTAATCTTTTAGAATGATTAATAGTGCAACTATTTTTTAATTAATAAATTTTGATTTCTTTTTCGCGCGATAGATTGATTCATAACGTGTAAACTATATTTAAATACACTGGACCACTTTTTACTTATAAATCTTTGATAGTAATGCATATTATACTTCCCGTATTACCTATTGCTTTTTTTAATATTTAATTTTTATAAAACAAATTAACATAGATGTTTTCTTACTACGTCGTGTAAATTAATTAATGAATAGGTAATACCCAAATAGGTACTTCATTAGATTTGATAATTTATTGAATTACTTATAAAACAGACCTTTCAATATAACTTTAAAAGTTGATGCTTGCTTTGTTTCCTATACTTATGTTAACCATATTGATTTTCATAAAAAATGTTTTGTGTGAGTACATATGATTGCAGTTTTTAATATGGAATTTCTTTTATTAGAAAGACATTCCTAAGTCTAACTGTATGCAATTTATTGGCTTCACCTTTTCTTTTTACCTATACGTATAATTAAATTTAAATCTTATTTAATCCATACGAAAATCGATTATATTTGTTCGATGCAATTTTTTTATTCTTAAATAAATAAAATTGCATCGAGTAATTAAATGTGCTTTTAAATCTTAAAAATAGTCATTAAAGTATTGACGTTCAGTTTGTGACGGTTAATTATTAATAATATATGATACAGTTTCTATAGTTTGTACTACAGTTTTTCCTGCTACTATAAACTTTTAATTGGACGAGTATAAAAATTGCAATTAATTTTCATTGCATAATGCATGATGATTGATATCATTGATCTCTTATAATCGATTACATCACAATACTTGTGCATACGCATAATAAAGTTTACAGGTAGTATATTATATGCTGGTTAAAATATGTTTTGTTGCCGGGTTCAAAGACTTACTATAAGTTTGTTTACCAATATACAAATGACCTATATGACATTCGAAATAGCAATTGGTTTTTTAATATAAGAAGAGGTGGTTCTCTCTCATGACTTAAAACCATTAGAAACCTATTTGAAGAACTGTTTTTAAAGACATATGTAGATACGTAAATAAGTGGATAAGTACTAAAATTACATAAAACAACATTAAATTTGTATTTCCACCTTATGGTTTTAATTTTGGGTATGTATCTTACGATTAGGAGTTAGCTGATTTTTAAAACATCTAATTAAAAGATCGAGCTGTGTCTTAAGCCTGCTTTGGATATCTTTGTTAATTTGTAGTTGAAAATCGTCAATATTTTATCGGGTTAGACGTGTATGTCAATATGAGGTCATAGGGTCTTAGATAGGATAAAGGGGCGCCATGGTAAAAATGCATTTATTGTAAGTCATTTTAGTGAATATATGATGGCTACCACTCTTCTTTTCTAATTTAGTGTAGTCGTAATTAGCAAGTTTGAATTTCAACTGTTTTTATGATTCAAAATCAATTTTATGACTATTTACGAACAGTAGGTTTTCCTCTGCCACTCTTTACTCCTGTTTCTGCTTCTCTATCCACGGTATCCTCACCATTTACCTGTAACACCTCATTTGCTTTTAATCAAAAACAAGAAACTATAATTACATATTTTTAGAAATGTTTATTTGCGGAGAACTCTCGACATTTGTAAATATTATTGATTGGTCTCTGTCACAAAAGTAACATATTCCGACATAAATTGTTATTATTTTATCGTGATATAGATATTTAAAATTTAAATAAAAAACTTAATCTTATGTGCAATGCACGCTTGTTTTCAGTTTTGTTAGTTGTATTGTTTATTACCGTGTTTGTCTTCCATTACATTTAGATATCTTTTTTATACGTTTTATCAGATGTTTATTGTCTGCCCGTCTTCTTAAAATAAAACTGACAAATGATTTTCTTAAAAATAATTTTAATTGAACTTATTTTTTATTAGTTAGAGTATAGAGATTCGCATATATATTACAATTTTTGACTAACGTAAATAAATTAAGTAAAAAGTAATCTACACTTCATTCGAGTTCAATCAGAAGCAATCTACTTTTCATTATAGGTTAATAGTTTGACGTCATAAACGCTTACATTTTTTTTAAATCTTATTAACTTCATTAAAGGTAAAATTTATAATTAAATGTTGATCGTATTGGAGACCACATATATGCAAAAGGACAAATAAATAAAAGTTTATCTAAGTACTGTAAAGAATATTTCTTTTGATATTAGTTGTAGTATTTTTTTTTTTTTGGTTCTATTTGAACATCTTCGAAGTACCCTATATAATTGTATATTTACACTAACGTAAAATGTTTAGTTGAAGTAGGTACTTTCATATTAAGACATTAAATACAGTTTTGTGGTAATCGTTTTTCTGATTTTTTTCTAATAAATCGCTAATTATTTTATCATTTTCCTGCCACTCTAACATAAGTGTTTTGAAGAAAAATCCTTTAAAAATTCTGAATGGGTGTAACAAATGTGTTGATACGCGATAAGAATGAATAAATAACGCAATTAAAAAAATATCGTAACTAGCCAACATAAATTTAATTGATTAAGCATTCAGGCGTTTGTTGGAACGGTATTTTTAACTTAAGTAAAACAAACCTTATACGGGTAAGGAAAAACGTTCTCCGAACATACAAATTCATGTGTTCTTAACTCCTTCTTTTAAAAGTTCTCCCTGTTTGTCCAATATAGGTACTATGTATGATACGTATAGATTGCGTTACAATATTTAAAGTGTAGACACCGCTGTTATTCATTTTATCTGTTTATCTTTATTTTTAATTCAGTATTTTGATAAATTATTACTAAACATTTAAAAAAGATAAAGATCAAAATATTTAATTAATATTATAGATAAAATGAACAAAGGCGGTGTTTAGAAATTGACTTGTAATACTTGTAAAGTAATCGATATACATATTGGGCAGACAGGGAGAACTTTTAAAAGAATAAGATAATAAACACATTAACAACTAATACAATGTGTTAGAAAACTACCGCATTCGCCTATAAGCACAAAATTTAAAAAAAAAGTTATCAATACAATTTTACGATTAAATGCATGATTATCGAGGTGCTGATTTGTTATTTTGATTATTTGCTGGCGGAATTTTTTTAGTTTGACTTTTTTTTGTATCAGGTGATCATGATATATACAGAAATTATTCGTTATCGAATTATAAATTGTTAAACTAGATTACCAGAATGTACACTTTTTTTACGTACGTTTATTTTGTTAATAATAATAGGAGCTTGTTATACTTATTGATAACATTCGTTAATGAGAAAAAATTGGTCATATGAAAAATTCTTTTCTGGGATCACATTTTCGAGCGCCTATTGTAATTACAGAAACATACTGTATACGAAAAGTATGAAATGTTTTTTTATTTCTCATACTTATTATGCGAATATTATTGTCGGCCTTGTTGATTATCTATTGTTGTTCCAAATATTTTCAATTGGATGTTTCCTCTTTCTTTTCAATTGCAACAAGTCCTTTTGGTTTGGGCAGCCAGAATGCAAGGTTTTTGTCTTAAAAGCAGATCTATCTACTAATAATAACTAATTATGTCAACAGAAAACATTGAAATGGTAAGAATTAGCATATTTTTTTTATCAACTTTTATTCCCGATGTATATGTTTTATTTACTTCGATATCAAAGAGACTAGTAGGATAAAAAGACGGTATTGATTCCTGTTTTTGTGCTATTAATATTTTAGTGAATGTTATATCTAGTAGGTACCCACATTGTTACATTTAATGGCTTCTCAGAAAAATTTTACGATTAACCCGAAATATTGAATTAATGGATCGGTTTTTATTTATAAAATACGAATAAAACTCGGTTTAGAACTACTATTAATGTCTATACAGGTAAGGCAAAACGTTCACAGAACATAGAAATTACGTAGCTGCCGCCATGTCCTGCTTGATTTCTAAAATCATATTTTTCATTATTAGCTAGATATACATATGCCTAGGTACTATTGGGATCCGTCAAATGGGAGGAGCCTAAGAACATGGCGCCGATTAGGGAAAATTTATCGTAGTTCCTATAGTGTATCGTGCAATTTCCAAGTTTTTAAATTACGATAAAATGATAAGTATTGACACAATATGTGATTGGGCTGACACAAAGCCTCGGAAAGGAAATTTCGTTGAAAATGAGCGTATTTTTAATGCCAATGACATTATAAAATTCGGAAATAACAAATTCCGTCAAGTTTACTGCCTACTTTTTACAAACTTCGGATTTAAAAAGTGATTCACGTTATATAATTGGTGAGGTGATTCTGGGCGATTTAAGCAATATCATATCAATGACTTGCACGTGCAAAGCCGATTTAAGAGAACGTTGCAAACACATTATTGCAACTTTGTTGTATTGCAGCAAGTAGGTTCTTAACCTCAAAATTCTTATATCGTATCATTAGAATTGTGTTAAATCAATTACACAGGAATAAATAATTTCTCACTTTATAATTTTAGTATGATTCTAGTTTTAAATGTTAAGGTTATGGCTGATGGTAAATACTTGCTGAAATATAACCATGTGCATTAAAATGACGTGAAGAAATTTTTATTCCGGAATTCACTTCTTTGATACCTACTGCTTTCATCCAAGCTTCTATTAGTTTACATCAAAAAAAATTTTACTTTTTTAAC